TCTAACATTACATTGCAGAAGGTCGTAGAATATTTATAGTGCGCGTTTCGACGTTACCGAAGATAAGGGACAAGGAAGTTATGGGTTAGGATGAAGCTACATACACTCTGCAACTCCAAACAAAGAAGGCCATGGATGTATTATCATCTTGACCATTGACTAAGACGGAATGCCTTATAGTCTGTAATTCAACTGACTCTCTATACCCTATATCTCTATATAATAGTAGTGTAGTAGGTACTGCTCGGCGAAATGGCATGAACAGGTAAGATGGTCAGATGGTGATGTGATGGTTTTCCATGCGGAAAAATCTTACCACCTACAAAAAATTAAGTCATTGGACCTTAAAACTCACAACTTAATATTCTGAATATTATATTATAACAATCATTACACAACCTATTCCGTTGTTAACATTGTTCAATGTTATTTTGAACAAGTTCCACCGAGTTTGTAGCTAGTTGTTTCCAGGACAGAAGTTCTTCCCGAACAAATGGTGAAAGTAAATAATGACTTTCTAGAAGTATTTCGGGTTAAATATAAAATGCCGTTTTATATAAAATAAACCATATTTTTCATTAGTTAAATATATTATTATGTATTTAATGGATATAATATTAAGTAATTATTGGCCCCTATTGAACCTTTCAATTCATTGACGTGACGTAACTTAAAAACTATCGTCACGATTTTCGTTTGACCGGTTTGACTTTTAGCAAATGTTAATTCCAATGTATTTTTTACTCAAAATCCGGCTGAAGATTGACCCATTACTGAGTAGCGATTACGATGGTCTAACTTTGGTGGAACTGTGTAAATGTATGTACGTATGTACATGTATAGTGTATACATATATGAATATGAGTGTGTTTTTATATAACATGGGTAACAAACGAGCACACAGTCCACCTGATGGTAAGTGGATGATGTGGCCCTGTGTGTGTGCTGTGGTCGATATCGATCATCTACAACTATCCTCGATTAAAAATCAAAATGCAGATGCGTTGCTATCCGTGAGGGCTGAGATTGAATGCCTTTGTAATAAAATGCAAAATTTCAGAAAAATCAGTCGCCTAGAATTGATGAAAAACTGAATAACAAAATTGCGCTCCATTCATTCTGATTTCATTCACTTATACATACATACATAAAAACGTTGTATAACGTGGTAGAGCCATGCTGCAGCTGTATTATGTTTGTAGCACGAATTATTCAGCTCGACCGGGGAAGAATCGTTGCAACGTGGAAAAGTGGCAACGCATCTGCATTTTAATTTTAATCGAGGATAGATGTAGATTTCTATGGGCCACAGTAACCAGTAACCACTTACTAAAGGGTAGCACATTCCACCTCTTTTGTCAGCCTTATCTTATAAAAAAGCAGTGGACTTTGGTGAGCTATAACGATTTTTATACGTGGTAGAGCCAAGCAGCAGCTATATTAGTAGTATAGTTGTAGCACGAATGGGTCGGCTCGACCGGGGAAGGACCACGCTCTCACAGAATACCAGCGTAAAATAGCAGCTTAATGCTGCTGTGTTTTGTATGGTGAGTGTAGAGACCCGGAGACCTTTTTAATGGAAACGAGGCATTCTATCTTAGTCCTCACGGGTGACAACGCATTTGCATTTTAATTCGTAATCGAGGATAGATGTAGATGTCTATGGGCCACAGCATCCACTTACCATCAGGTGGACTGTGTTTTGTCACCGTTATCCAATAAAAAGATTATAAATGATGACACAATCCATCTACGAGTATCATTGTAAAATTTTCTGGACACGAAAATATACATTTTTAATTAAAAAAAAAATGACTTCGTATTTGCAACAGCGCGGGTTTCATTAAAGAATCACACAAATGGCCTGCGGCAAGCCGAGTAAAGATAACACGCAATTTTCAGCGGACGGAAAACGGACACGGGACGGTCGTGAAACAAATTGGTTACTTCCTACATTTAGACATGAAACCGTAAAGACGTGTACAAGATTTGATGGAAACCAGTGGTAAAAATAAAAATTTCGTACAATCGACTTCAATATAAATTATTAAGGATGTCTCAAAAACTACTAGTTAGACCTTGATCAAATTTATATGGGACCACATGAGAAGCACCAGCCTTCAAATAAAAAAAGAATCATCGAAATCGGTTCACCTAGAAAAAAAGTTACGAGGTAACACACATTAAAAAAACCACATACAGTCGAATTGAGTACCTCCTCCTTTTTGAAGTCGATTAATAAGATTTGAATTTGTTACGTGGTAGAGCGATGCTGCAGCTATATTACTGGTATAATTGTTGCACGAATGGTTCGGCTCGACCGAGGAAGGACCACGCTCTCACAAAATACCGACGTAAAATAGCAGCTTAACGCTGCTGTATTTCGTATAGTGAGTGTAGAGAACCAGAGACTCATTTTACTGGAAACAAGGCATTCCATATTAGTCGTCACGGGTGACAACGCACCTGCATTTTGATTGTATTTATTGAGGATAGATGTAGATGTCTATGGGCCACAGCAATCACTAACCATCAGATGGCCTGTGTGCTCGTTTGTCATCCTTATCATATAAAAAAAAAACTACCGTGTAGTGGCGGTGTATGAGTATTTTTTTATTTTCTTTATTTTTTTTCTTTTCCTGTTTAGATTGTACACAACGGAAACACAAACATTATCAATGGAATCAGGCGTTACTTTGCGGAAATCCAATATATTAAAGATGTTAGAAATTAATTAGTTTAGATCGGCGTAATAAAATAAAATGATGTGTCTCACCTAGTTTAAAGAGAAACACTAAACACGTGTCGTATTGTTGACGGTGGTGTATCCTTCCTAGTGTAGTGGTGCTGGGATTTGTGGTGATGGGAATAATGCACGCCAATGAGGGCATCCACGACTTTTTCACTTAAAAGTGAGGTATAATATTTGACAGATTCATAGCGGGAAAGTTAGTTTGTTCGAATAATGTCAAATTTAATGTTTCTTTCTGTACTATTAGCTCTATTTTATACTATTTAGATTAAAAATAAATAAACAAAACCACAGATATTTATAAAAGTAGAAAAATTAAAAAAAAAACTTAAAAATGTGAAAAAAATTAAAGAACAAACCACTGAGGCCTTGTTTTGTGTATTCATATAATCCTCCAGAAACTGATAAACTTTTATTAAGAACTATAACTTCTGAGTTAAATGCCATTGTGTAACAAAAAACTAACTCAGTGTCAACTAGCGACATCTGGTGAGCGGAATATTATTCGCCCACATTGAGGGAGAGCGGGAAGTGCTCTCTAAATAGGTAAGACACATATAATTTTATTACATGTTTCTTAACTAATTAATTTTAAACATCTTCAATAAAAATATTACGCGAAAGACTTGTGTCCAGACCACAGTAAGAAAAAAACTTCTGAAATTCCTCTTGAAGACGAGAGTGCTTGTTTGTAAAACTGATGGTTTGAGTAGGGATTCTAAGTCGGATAATTTCATTAACAATTTATCCTCAATTGGTTGTCTGATTTTCCAAAACCATGTCGTTGGATGCCATTTTTAGTGTGCAACGTAGCGTAATAAGAAATTTTGAGAATTTATGAGACAGACTGTTCGTAGGTAGGTACCCACCGACTGGGTTGGTACAAAATACAAATACACATTACAACATTAAACTGTACACTGAACTTTATATTTCACTGAACTGACACCCGATGGGAAAAAAACAAAAAAGGTTCTCGAGTAGCAGTACCGGTAGGCGAAGTGTACACCGACCCCCCACTGTATGGAGTGACGATCTGGTAAGACATGTAGGAAGTCGATGGATACAGGTGGCTCAGGACCATGCTTTGTGGCATTCCTTGGGGGAGACCTACATATTTTCAGCTGTGGACTTGTGAAGGGCTGTAATGATGATGATGAAACTGTAAGTAAGCTTCAATGCGGTCATTAAGGAGTATTTTAGGGCGGAATATGAATGACGGGGTGAGAAATTGAGTGATAAGAGAAGAGTGTGGTTTGCAAGATGATGTTGTGACCAGGATTAAGAAAGGAATGCTTCGGTGGTTTGGTCATAAAGAATAAATGAGGAAAGAGAGATAAAGCAGACTTATGTTGCAGAGGTGAACGGCAGAGTCGGGAAGGGACGCCCTGGGCGAAAGTTTATCGACCAATTTGGTGATATATTGAAAATAGGCCAAATTAAGAATACCCTTAACTGACGAGCGTGTATGCGTATGTATATATGTGAAGGAAGCGAGAGAGGTGTGTCAGGATCGTGCCAAATGGAAGTCCATAGTCTCTGCCTACCCCTCTGGGTGACAGGCGTGAGTGTTTATGTATGTATGTAAGTAATATGAAAAAAAGAGAGGGCTTAATGATATATAATTTTAATTAAGATTAAACTTAAGATCAATGTGTCGTCATTTTTTTCACCTACCGCCAAAACAGCTGTTTAAAAAGTAGGCTTTTTTTATTGAAGATCCCTAAGTCATAATGGTCCGGAAAGACGAACAACGAGAAGCAACAGTAAATTTCACACGCTGGTCGTGCATGGCAGACAATCCTGTCTGTAGCATATTTTCACAGCTACATCAAGAGCTAAAGTTGTATATAATTTTGTTTGTGAAAACCTCTAGAATCTCTCATCCGATTCTGAAAATTCTTGCAATTATAGAAAGCTACACTACTCCCGTGTGACATAGGCTATGTTATATTGTGATCAAAATTAGTTTTCAGTATGAAATCGGTAAATTTTAAAAAATCATGTCGGTAAATAGTGAGTCGATTGGCGCGTATTGGTGTACGCTGCTTAATATTAGTGAACACAAGGTAATTGCAAAGTAATTTAGTTTTTATAACAAATACATATCATGTACTTTTGTTACTAATACATAACGTCCGCAATATTTTGAAAAAAAATTGGCAAAATTTTGCTTTTACACGAATATCACAAGAGCATAGCTAGTATTACATGATAATGCTAAAAACAAATACATAAATCTACTCACCTATTTTTGTTTTTATATCTAAACATTGCGATATGTGTGGGAACTGAAGGATCTTGCGCCACTTTTTGCTCTTCCCTTTGTTGCTATCGGAACCGCCTGTGAACAATCAAACACACATAATTATATACACAAATATTTCAGTTAGATATATACAAGAATAAATTATTAGTTAAAAACAAAGAGTCCACTAACTAACAAAAAAAATTATATGTTCGTCAGAATCAGCTTCGAAGAAGCAAGTATTATGGCCATATAGTGTAGTCTCATCGGAGATGAAGACGAATCTAATTACACGTGACACTAGAAAATCCGTCAAGCCGTTTACGCATAAAAAGCTCACGAAGGAATACACAAAAATATGTTTCACCTTATCATAAAATAAACCTTATCATAAAATATGTCACCTTATCATAAAATATGTGTAGATGTAAGTGTTGGAATAAATGTCTATGTCTTTATGTCACTACCCCGTACCGTCCCGAGGGTGTCGCAAGAGGCGGCAGAGGGAAAGTTAAACAGGAGATGAGCAGCATCTTCCTGGTGACAACTCAAAATAATAAAAAACTGCGGTTGTCAACCCGCTTACTCAACCTGGCATCCATGACAAAATCCCCCCATGAGGCAATCTATGAAAGGGGCTATATTCAGGAGTAGATTTTTATGTGCTGTAAAGATGGGTAGATGGGATAAGACAATGGTGGAGTAAATTTGAAAGTAATAATAATTCTTATTTAAAATCATCATGACATGACATCATTAAATTTTCAGCCAAGGCATTCTAATAACTTATAACTTCAATTATAATTGTCAACAAATACTGATATTTTTTCATTGTTAGTTATAATTCGATGGTGAAGAAAAACATCTTGAGAGAACCTGAATGTCTAAGAAACAAAGCCCTAGATATCCTCGATTAAGAATCAAAAATGTAAATGTTTTATCACCCCGACGACTAAGATAGGAATGCCTAGTTTTCTGTAAAACGGGTCTCCGGTTCTCTACACTCACCATAAGAAACACAGCAGCATTGACTGTTATTGTACGCCGATATTCTGTGAGTGTGTGGTGCTACCCCGGTGTAACCAACCCCGCCTTCGTGCTGCAACCATAATATGTCAAGTGGCACTACCACATATACGTCTTCGAAATTTTTAGCCACCGAGCGAGCATGTGGTAAATCAGTACTTAAAATTGCTATTATCAATTTTATTGGTGCCGGCGGGGATCGAACGTGGGCCGCATGTGTACTGTGAAATTTACGGCGAGCGCTTTGTACCATGTGCTACCTACCGGATACGGCCCTGAGCGCATTTAATGGAGCGAAAAATCAATACGCAGTAAGTTCTGGATTCAATGTCAGAGGGATTGAGGTGGGTTTTACGTTCGTAACTCTCTCCGGTAAGTTTGGTTTAAAGCGTCAGGTGTCTTAAGAAAACAGATTTTTCTATCATTATTTAAAACTACATTCTTATTAAACATTAAATAAAATACCTTCCTCACACTTATAATTTCAGAAGGAATCGAATCCGCGACACGCAGCGTCGCAGCGAAATGCTTATTCGCTACGCTAACGAGTCATCAAAAATAAATGAAGAGAAGAAACAAACGCTGGCCGGAAATTGCATTCAAGATAAGTAAGATAAGTCTGAAAGGTGTACAATATCATTTGAGTTCATTGATGACCATAAGACATTCCAAGAATCCAGTGAAGATTGTGTACTTCGTACTAGGAGAGGCGTCGAGACATGGTAATACGCTTTTGAACCTGCGGGCTCAAACTTACTTAGTCTGTGCCAAAAGGGTACTCTGTGTCTCCTAACACGCGCTCCACGCTGCCGTGCCGCACAGATTTTGTTTGCGGTGTCTGTTCTAGTACGCAGTTTTTATTACTTTAATGAGAATATCTGCCGATACTTACCAAGTTGGGCGGACGGGTAGATGAGCACATAGCCAATACCCTTGCACGAGTAACGCATAATTTTTTAACGTGGTAGATCCATGTTGCAGCCATATTAATTGTATACTTGTAGCACGAATAGGTCGGTTCGACCGGGGAAAGACCACGCTCTCAACAACGTAAAATAGCAGCTGATGTTTCGTGAGTGTAGAGAACCGGAGACCCTTTTTACTGGAAAAGAGGTATTCCATCTTAGTCCTCACGGGTGACAACGCATCTACATTTTGATTTGCAATCGAATATAGATGTAGATGTCTATTGGCGACAGCAACCACTTACCATCAGGTGGACTGTGTGTCGTTTGTCACCCTATAAAAATGAGGATGTACCATTTTGGAGTGGATATATCAGTCATCAGAGCTCTGTTAGTAGGTCAAAGAGTTGGTGTATTTGGATCTGAGTCGATTAGTAGAATCTGAAATCGCCTGGTCCGACTAACCCTTCATGCACCGGGCTTAAAACATTCCAAAACCTTAATCCGGGCAAATGATCGTAAATTCAGTAGATTAAGTAAGAACAAACTGCGTATATTGGCAATAGCCATGACTGGACATTTTTGTTTTAAAAAGTACATGGCGCTCATCTTCGGACTAATTAAATCAAGGATGTACCGAATCTGATGTACTGATTGTGGAATTTTAATGCGCAAACGTAACACTCATCTCTATAGATGAGTGTTACGTAGAGCCATGGTAGCTCAGATGGTTAGCGCTCGCTGTAAATTTCACAGTACACGAGCAAACCTGGCTCGATCCCCGCCGGTACCAATGAAATTGTTAATTGTAATTTCAAGTGCTGATGGTGAATCACGTGCCCGGCGGTAAAGCAAACATCGTGAGGAAACCTGCATGTCTGAGAAATTAAAAAAAATACTTCGAAGAACTGTGAAGTTCGCCAACACGCGTTGGGGCAGCGCGGCGGACACTTCCTTGCCCTAAAAACCTCTCAGAATTGAGAGGAGGCCTGTGTCCAGCAGTGGGATGTGAACTTTTCAACTTTAACGCTCGTCTAGAAACCTACATATCAACCTTCCTTCAATTCATTGAAGATATAGGGCTTAGCAGTCAACTATAGCCATAGCAGCGACGATATTAGATCACACTTATCGCAGCGATACTGGTCTTGCTAGACCTTTGCGTTTTGGGGAACAAATTAGCACAGTGACACCTTTAGGTCGTGGCAACCCGGGTACTCAGTAAATAGGGGAAATGGGGAGAAGATGCAACTTTTCTCGCTTGAGGCGCCCGGATGGCCAAAGCCGGCTCTGAATTGACGCTCTTCTAGTCGTGGGGGCTCAGCAACTGAGCCCGCCTTAAAACTTCATAGTACCTATCAAACAAAATTCAATTCCTTTTCCATGCTCATTTAGATATAATTATAAAAGGCTTTATTAAATTGCAATACACAAAACTTATTTCATTAATCGCCTCATCACTATTATATCTGTAAACAAAATTCAATTAAATAATATAAAGCCCCTATAAGCCTGCTACACAAACATCCCGATAGCAAAGCTAAAATCAATTTCCCCGAAATATCCTCAAGAGCCGTAATTGTACTAATAAGGGTATAATATCAAATCACAGTAGCGTAGAGTTACAATGCGATTCAGTCGAATGGGTGGGTGGTTCGGCGTCGGATAACGTTCCAGACGCTCATATCGGAATCAGGGTGTCACTAGCAATGAAGAAGGCAATACGCTCGATTGGTCACGTAGCGCTGCGCCCAGTTGTACCATATTATCGCGCGCAACCAAGATAAAGCTGTCTATAAACTTTTAAATTATTTAGGGACCGGGTTTTCAATTCTAGGAACAAAGTTAAACACGGGATAAAACACAACGTGAACAAGTTAAAAGCTACTGTTGCACGAACAAACTAGTTCAATTATTGTTTCACATATTTTTATCCAGTTAGGTTATAGTTTATTTGACGGATTTAAAAGTCGATCCTTATAATGTCAAATACTTATTTGAAGAAAAAAATGTCATATTATTTACCATTACAACCGAACTAAAGTCCACTTGAACATAGGTCTCCCCATAGCTTGTATCATAGGGGATATTTGCCATAGGTGCCACGCTTGGCAAGTGGGTGTGGACCACCGCAGTTTTTTTTATTAAGCTGTTATCACGATGCTGATGGTTCAGTTTCCCTCCGTCGCTTCTTACGATAACAACGGGATGGTATAGGGTAGTGGCTATTCTTGCAACGCCCCTACCCTACACGGTTTTTCTTATTATTTATTTATTCATATTTACTTGAAATATGGTAGCATTAATAGTGACATGGTTTGCTCGGATGGATATCTCATATTTATTTTTTATTAACATGTAAAAGTCATTTTTATATTAAATAAACAAATATATATAATACGTAAAAGTGAATTATTAGTAAAAAAAATTGGCAAGTTTTCTATAATACCTACATCAAGTTCATCCTATTCCTACCTCCAATGAACGTTCTCAATTTCTTAGCTCTTTTTTTCAGTTCTTGGAATCAAGCTTTAGAACTGCTTAAATAATAGATTCCTTTATAAACAAAACTAAGATTATCTTTCCCTCTAATTTCTCCCTTCTCTTTTCATCTTTGCTTTTCCTTTTATGATCCCTAAAAAAGTTGTTTTATGTAACTAATGTGTTCTTAGTTCATATTTAAATTGTATTATTATTTATAATACACTCTACCCATGAATTTTTCTCTTTTTCCTTGTTGTAGATTGTTTGAAAGAAATTGTTGTAGAGCAGTAAAACCGCCAATTATTTGCTCTCAAATGTTTGTTCCTTGTTATGTAATTTGTTTTCTTAGGGAACAATAAAGAGTACTGTCATCCTAATGAAATACGAACAAACAAATATTAAATTTATATATTAGATTAAGGGAAGACTTTTCAATCGTCAGTTAAAAGATATCCATTAAACAAATAATAACCTGGCTAAATATAAAAGTCAAACAATTGAAATATTTTATTAATACAACTGTAATTTTTAATTTATGTTGTATTTTATTCGTTGAAAAATTTTTAATTGACGATTACGAAACTTCCTAAGAAAAGCATCGTGTAGTGGCGGTGTAAGGATATCCACTACCCCATATACCGTACTGTGTGTGTCGTAATGAGCGACAGATGGATTTCAAAC